TTCTAGCAATATAACGTCGCTAAGTATCATACTTTTTCTAGCACTCTCTACGTCGCAATAACGGTATCAAAATGCCATCATACTAGTTTCATCTTTAAGTTTAAAAAAATTATTATTTGAATGTGTATTGTCGTCTTCAAAATTTTGACGATTTGATTGATCAAAATAATCACGATTCAGAGATTTAGCATATTACAGGATCTCCTGTCTTCTCTTTTGAGATTTGTTCTGAGCACTTGAACTTTTATATGCATCTGAAACTAAAGAGAAAATATTGTTTGCTGAACGTCTAATTGATTATTATTGTCGAACAGCATCGAACGTTCATAATATAATTATTTATCGATTATTTTTTTCTTTGTATGCATATCTTCGTGCAGTATACCAGTTCCATCTACATGGTGGTTTAGCACATACACTAATGTTCGTATTTGAATAATTAATTAGAAATATACAACAAAACCCTCATCTAAGTTTCAATCTCGCTCCTCATATCGTAGATTGGAGCAATATACGATACACAGTGTGGCCGGACTAGTCTAAATTACCAAAAAGTTGCTCCATAAGCGTAAATACTGCTAAGAAAAAAATTGTATTTCGATTTTGCCTTTAAAACAAATATTTAGTTTATTTCATTGAATAATTACAATAAGTTAAAGATAGTAATGATTATATTTTATTTTCCTTCTGACTCATAGATTGAAGCAAGTTGAATGTTTTCTCTCTCTTCTCAGACAGAACAGACGAGAAAAAATAATCTCTTTGAAAATAACTACTCTCTCCAAATTTATTCCATTGTTTATCAACGATAAACGAACTTAATTTACTTTTCTTCCTTTCCTTTCGTCAATATAGCAATTCAATTTGTCTGACCTGTCATTGTTCAATCTCTTTCAATGTCTCATACTTCAATAACTCCTAGCAACATTCATTAGCAGGAACGTTTCGAAATGATGATATAATTTATATGCAAGAATTAAATAAGGATTGAAAAGGCTTTAAACAAACGACAAGTATGGTATTTTTTATTATTTCGTTAGAAATCGTTACAAATTGTTATACAGAGAATCCATCAATTATTATATAAATCAAAGCCAGATTTATATAACAGTGGAGTTTATACTCTAGTTAAAAGAGAAAAAACAGATTCATCATTCGTTTTCAATGAACGCAGCCTAAACATGAAACTGTTAACTCAAAAGACTCTAAAACTGCGTTGAAAAGGATCTTTCAAGAAGCTTCGACTAGCTTTTTATTTTTATTACGTAAAAAATTAATGCATCAATATTTTCTTTTGAAAATTTAGATTTTATTCTGAAGAGATTATTTAAATTACACTTCTAATATTTATGAAATGCTCATCTGAACTGGTATACGCACATATGAATATCAATTTAGGTACTTATTTTGCTTGAAGAATCAACTAGCGTCGATAATGATGATTCTAATTTTTCTTTATCTTTTGTGAGTATGATATTTTGTCATTTTCATACTTCGATTTTCTTTATTTAGATTTTTAAACAAACTGAAGGCGCGCCTAGTCTCCATTTACTAAAAATTCCTGGAACAAAAAAAGAAGCAAATATTTATGTAACCGCATTGACACAGCTGATTTACACATATGGATCAACTGGCTTCACTCACACTGGCTGATACCCATAACGACAACAGATATATGTTGGGTAAGGGCAAGAGTATCGATTTCTTCGTAAAGTTGATTTTCTTTATTTTCAGAAGCTGTTTGTACAATCTTTAAACTTAATGACAAGCAACCTGAACAAACATTCGCCGAAGGACTGTACATGAAGTTTTTCTTGCAAAAAACAAGTGGTCATCGCAAAAATGAAAATTACGAAACAATAATAAATTGTCTTTTTTATCCACGAGCTTATTCATTTTTTTAGTTGTTGATATACATTACTTGTATTTTTCTCTAATTTATTTAAATAAAATTTTAAATAAAATAATCATATAACTCTTCTAGAAACAAACTTTTAAATATGAACGGGTAGAAGGCACAGATGTGAGGAGGAGGAAGTACAGAAGTACCACAACTGATAAATATCTAATCCTGTGGTGCTCAATATTGTCTCATAACACCACAATATCGCGTTACTATGGTCATAGCGCCGTCATATGGCACTATCACAGTCATAGCGGAGCGCTAAAGGGGGTCACAATGTGATCGCTATAGCGCCGTTATAACGCCGCTACTTTACCGTTATCAACGACGTGGGTATTTTTCTCCAATAAAAAACAGAAACGACTGAATAAACTTTCATTGGTATTCGTTTGAACTTGGTTTGCGAAATATTTTTTATATTTTAAAACGAGCATTTTCAAAGAAATTCAATTCGTTTGCGGCGCAATCCTTGGGAGAACAGCTGATCTTTTAAGAGAGCTCAATTTGAATATAAAACTTGACATTAAGAGCTTGTTATTCTGATTTTCGGTGACTATAATAAACATTTTATTAAGAGTATATTTGTGGGTACAGATGTTAGTCTTTTCTTCGCTTACATGCTATTTCTATTGCTGTGTATCTTCTTCTACATGAATTTAATTATAGCTTTAATTTGAATATCACATTCCATTCGATACATCATTATTCGCGTTGCTTATTTTTATTATTTTTCTTTGAATTATTTATCTTGAGAAAGCCTGATAAGAAAGTATTGTCCGATCTTTACTTAAGCCTAGTAGCGATGATTGAAAAAATATTAGTTTTACGTGGATTACGAACTTCACTGTCGATTTTCATCATAAAATTGAGTATGACTGATAATGTTTTTGTCTATTAACAATATTCATCAATAACTTAAACAACAAGTCTTTGATCAATAGTGCATATTTGTAAGAAAGTGAAAGAAGAATAAAACCTATAAGCTATTTTAGAGGGTGTGGGTGTGGGTGTGAATGAAAATAAGAGCTACACCCATACCAGCACCCTATTGAAAAATATTCTTTACAACAAACTACGATGCAAACTGTCGCAGACTGTTGTTTGAAACAAAAAGAGAAATATTCATGCTGCTTGAACGTCCAGACATATTTTGTCTCCTCTGTCACCTCTTACCAAATTTACCTAGTTTTGATAAGTTTCCCACCTTCTTCTTTATGTGGACGTTCTTCATAGGTGAACCCTAACCATGATCATTCAAAAAAATTGTATAGTATATAATCAAATAGAAAAACCAGATTTTTTTAAACATCGAATACAAATGTCAATTTAAATTATTATTTGAATTTTATTTATCAGTACGATAAACCATATAATCAAATGAGAAACACTATTTCATCGAATAATCAACTAAGAGTTGAAACTACAACACCATCAAATACATTAATCAATTCTATGTCAAGCCAAACTTCACTATATCCCATAGGTTATACTTCTTTTATTCAACCTTACAGTAAGCTTACGTATGTTTATAATCCAAATGGGCATTACGATCGGTCTTATTACACTAATCCTGATTATATACGATAGTATTTTCTCTGATACACTTTTGTCTAATAATTATCTCTTAGTCATCTTCAATATGAATTACACAAACATTGTATCTTCTGTGAAAAGCATTTAAGAAGAACAGTAAGAAACCGAAGAATACAAATATGACATACAAAAAAAACTACGATTGATATCTAAACTTAAATTCTATTCACTTCTGTTGATCTTTTTATTGTTTTTGAGTTAGAGAAAATTGAACTGTATACATTTCTTATATTTTCATCATCTGTATGTGACTATCCTTATTCTCATAAGTTATTCATTATTTGTAAACAAGTAGACAGTATGTTCATATTGCGATCAACATTCCTGAACAGCATTGACTCATATACACAATTCATTATTTTAACAAATGAATATTCATAAAATCTGTGTACCCTCTATTCAACAAAAATTTGATTTGATAACAGGTAATGATAAATGGTATATTGAATAACCTTTGCACTTTGATAAAATGCTTTATGAGACTATTCGTAAATATAGACAGTTATATAATTTTCATTTATGTCAATAATACATCAGATATGTATGAAAGTTAATTGACTGAATGAATTTGTGCTTTTGTCCGATAAATCAGTTTATGTCTATTACAAAAGTTATTGCAAGGGATTCAACAATTGTGTTCATTGGATGTAATTGTGATATTTGATTTCGCTTTATCCAGGAATAAAACAAAAAGATCTGAGTTTCGTTGTTGATCACGATTTAATCTTGTTTGAATTAACAGTCTTTATCCGAAAACCTTGATTTTTATGGTTCACATTTTCAAAATTTAGGTATCTAATGTAAAATGAATGAGAATGATTATATGCGATGCATTCGACATCCATATGATCGTACTGCAACATCTCACAAAAAAACATTTTCAAGTGATCGATAGTTTTTGAGTTCGGATGATGTGCTTAAGCTAGGTCCTAGTGAGACATAAGAAGCATCAGAAAAGGAGAAATCCCCAGAGCCCTTCTGTCTGGAATTATACGCATTTTATTGAAATTATTGTCAGAGTGTGGGTATGTGTGGATGGGTGAGCGTGTGCTTATGTGTGTGCGTGAATGTGTACTTTTCATCTACACTCACACCCACACCCACATGCAGACCTTGCTGCAATTATATTTATAACTTAATGAAAATTTATCTTTGCCTTGCTAGTGTGAGTACCAATGAAATTTTTGAAATTTTAATTTACTTTCAAAATTGGGTTAGGCAACTATTCAATAAAGTCATACAAGATCTTATAATCAAATTATTTAATCTGACTTATCAGTTGTTATATATATATATATTGATGTCAGATTTATTTTCTGAATTATAATTATTCGATGCTCCTAAATATCGAAATTCAAGTTTTTTCATTATTAATTGTCAAAATAAATAAATAAAGAGATAACTTCCTATAGTAAATAACAGAATTTAAATAAGCAAAAAAAGAAAAACCCATATGTATGCACACGAAAAAAATAAAAGTCGATATACATATGAAAAAAAGAAATTATGTCACTGTTGTTTTCATGATCACTTCATTTAATATATCATCTAAACATAGACGAACATCACTTTCAATAAAATCAATCATTATTGGACATGAACATCCAGCCATAGGTTCAACAATTGATGATTCAATAAAACGACTTGGATCTAAACATGCTTCTTGTAAATCACGAATATCATGTGTGACTTCCCTAAATATTTTTAAATAGAATTGATATAAAAAATATTTTTTTATTTTACCATCGACTTTCACATGAAAGACATTCAAATCCTAATTTATATTTCCATCGTTTTGAGCGTCGAGCATGATTTTCAATTATATTATGATGTAAATCTTTCATTTGAGCTTCCAAAAGACTCAAACAATCACGAATTGGACTAAGAGAACTAAAATTTAAAAATAATACATATATTATATCTGAATTGTAATCTTTTAGCATTATTTTTCTCAAAACTTTAGAAATCAAAAAAGCGTGCAAATAAAACTCTGCATGACTTATCCTATGTCATAGATAGGAAACTCCAATTTGCTGTAAGCCTGAGGCGTAGTCACTGCCTTTGTATACATCTTTCACAAAATTTTCAAAGTAAATGCTTGAAACTAGTCGAAAAGTTTTTGACGATTTTTTCAAGCATAACGCATAGTCTTGACTCAACAGTGATTTTTTATATTGATTTAATAATAACTTACTTGGTAACTTTTTCTTCAGTATCAACTTCAGTAACTAATTTTTTTAATTCATTTATATTAATTATTGGATTCTATTCATAGAAAACATGTTTTTTTTTTAAACATTTTATTTCAAAAAAAAAAAAAGAAAAGTCGTTTATTTATTTTCATAGTTTACCTCAGTAAATAATTGTTGATTATCAATTAATGGTTTAACAATCGAACGAAATTGTCCAAGTTTTGTTTCCAATTCACGTCGTTTTTCTTGATGACGTAAATCCATTTGTTCATAACGTTTGACATTATTAAGTGAAAACTGTAAGATATAAATCAAATTCATAATTAAAATTTTAAATATTTAAACATTTATTAGATAAGTTTTTCTTTCTTTTTCTATTTACTAGCTGCAATCAAGATGAAAAACAAAATAACGAATAGATATATTTATATATATTTTTTATCACCAATGAAATAAACTAAAAGGAAAATATTTTCTTTACTTATGATAAAATAAAACTCAGCATGAAAAACAAAAATAAAATAAAAACTCAACATTAAGTTTAAAAAACATTTTTCAATTAGTCAATCACACGAAACAAACAAAACAAGCTGTGTGCAATAACAACATTCATAAAGCGTTCGATGAATAGCATGTGAATCGATTTGGGTTATTAGTAGAATGAAGAAGAAGCATGGTTATTGCAACTGTTGACGACGCCTACCTGGCTGGATTTCATTGCTTCTTGTAATTCAATTTGATGAGTTTGTTTTGTATAATCTAATTTTTCTTTCAATGCATTTAATTCACGTTCTTTTAATTCAAGTAGTTCACGAAGATTCTATTGTTAAAAAATAACACAGAATGATTTTATTTTTGTAAAGAAAAACTTTTTTTTTTGAGAATTTTTACATCTATTGAACTATTATCAATATTTGATTGTTTAAATTTCATATTGGCTAATTCACGTTCAAGTTGTTGAATTTTTATTTCATCATCATGAAGTTCAGATTTAAGACGATCAATTTCCAAACGATATTGAGTTTCATTTGTACGCAATCTTATAACAAATATATATATAGTTATAAGAATTTATTTAAAATAAAACATCTATGATGTCTTATTGATACTTTTGAAGTCTATTGGATATAGTTATAGTTTACTATGATTCTCTAATGAATATATGACATGCATCTAAAATATATATATACCATGCCCTTGATTCATGTTATCAAAAAATCAGTTAGAAAAGCCTCTACATGTTTTAATTCATTGATATTAACTTACAATCGATTTGAATTGGTTATCGTCATATTTGTCCTGGAATTTTTATGAAACAATTTCAACTATTTAAAATTCATTATTCATGATTAAATAACTTGTTCTTTTTTTTTTTATACATAAAATTATTCCTATAAGAATGTAATCTCAATCCTATGAATGCACATAGCTCTAGGAGGTCAATGATTTCAGTGCCCCGATTTTTTGGGTAGCCACCGGAAAACTCGAGAAAATGATACTTCAGACGATGATTACAGTTTGTTGTGAAATGATCTGGAAATTGATTATTCGATCGTACTTATTTGACCTGAAGTTACTAAGACATACTTATCAATATGTAAAGAATATCGGTACGAATAAGTCCTATTCGGAAAGTAAAAGTAAATTAAACAGAAAAGCAATTCATCCAGAAATGTACAGTTTCAATTAATCTATCATTGACTTTCAGATCGGAATTGTACAGTCGTTCTGAAGATACGAGATACTTTTTTTTTCTATATTCAGAAAGTAGCATATTTCTAAGTTTAACAAAAGATTTAGAAATGAAAAAGAAAATAAATTCTTATTTAATTAATATTACCTTTCTGTTTCATCTTTAATTACTGACATTTCTTGAATTTGAATACTCATTTCATGTTGAACATGTTTAAAATGTATGATATATGATTCAAGTTGATTTTTTAATCGTTCATTTTGTAAATTCATATTTTTCAACTAATTAAAATAAAATAAAAATATTATCCTAAAAGAAAATTTTTTTTTACTTGTCGTTTATTATCAATTAATTGTTGTTTTAAATCTTGTTCTGAATCATAAGTTAATATTATTGATTGTTCATTATTATTATTATTTGATATTCGTTGTGCAATTTCATATGTTAAACATTTTAATGTTAAATAACAAATATCTTCATCAGATTGTGTAAAATTTTGTTTATCATTATGTATTTTTGAATAATTTACAAATGAAAGATGTTGATTTTCTTGTTTAAGTCTTTCATTTTCATGCATATAATCAAGTATCATACGTTCAAATTTAAGTGTAATATCTTTAAGTTTTTTATTTTCAATTTGTATTTGTTTAACAAAACATTTTAATTGTTCACTTTCTTTTGACCATGCCAACATTTCTTGTTCAAATGTATGACGTGAAATATTCTGATCAGATGATGATGGTAACCTTCAAGAAAAAAAGGAGGACACAAAAAAAAAAACTTAAGTAAATAAATGTAAGTTACGAATCAATGTCCTTGATTGTTTGAGTGTCAGCATCTGTTTTTGAAGGTTGAAACGTTTCTTTTTTAATTTTTTCCATTAGAGTTATACGTTCATGAAGAAGATTATCTATTTGAGATTGATATTCATTTATTTTCAAATCAGTAGAACTGAAGTAAAAAAATAGTTTTCAAAAAAAAAAAACAAACATATGAATAATAATACCTATCAATATCAAAACTTGTTTGTGATTGTATACTATTGACTGTTAATGATGAATGTTGTTGTAATTGAGCTAATTCATAAGATATTTTTAAATCATTCATTTTTTTAATTTCATCTTGTTTCCATTGAGATAATAAATCTCGTTCTTCAATTAAATGTTTGATTTCATTTTGCAAAATTATTTCATTTTCTTGAAGTTTTTCAATTTTTTTTTGATGTTCTTCAACAATTGATAAACTATTAGATAAAAAAAAGAAAATGAGAAAGACATAAGTGATAATAAAATGATAAATACCCAAGTGTTTGAGTAGATACATGATTTGATTCATGTGATATTAATTCTTCCATTTTAGTTAAACGTTCGTATTCAATTTGATTACGATACGTATCAAACGAACTACAATATCAAATAAATTTTATTTTTTATCATTTTTTTTTTTTCTTTTTTAAAGTGGTATGTTATAATCATATCTTTTCTTTCTTTCTTCTTCTTCTTATGATCATAGTTACCTTTGTATTTCTTTTATCTCATTTTGAAGGTTTTTAATAAATGATATTATATGATTAAGATTTTCAAATATATTTTCATTTGATGTAGGAATTAAAATTGAATATTCAAAAATAATTTGTTGAAGTTTATTTTTTATTTCTTGAATTTCAGAATCAATTTCAGTTTGAGTTGAATTATTATTTAATGTTTGAGATTCAATAAATGAAAATTCAAGTGAATTTGTTTGATTAATTAATTTTTCAAATAATGTTGAATTTATTAATTCACATTGAATATCAACATCATGATATTGTTGTTCTATTTCATTTTTATCTATAAGATCAGGTGAAGCATCATACCAAGTATTTAAATCATTATCATCTAAGTGACTTATTTGATCAAGTTGAAGTTTTTGTGTATTATTGTCAATTATTGAATAACTAAATATTAAAGATTTAAATGAAAACATAAAAATTAATTAAAAAAAAAAATGATAAAATATATTCGTTGAGTTTTATATGATATTTATTATCAATTTGTTGCTTTATGATCAAGATATTATTCATTCTATTCAATTTCAAGTCATGATCTCTTTTCTTAACTGAAGTTTATTGCGATGAAAGTAGTTCGATACAGGCAAAGAACAAATAAAAAATGAAGAAATCATATTCTTAATCAAGTGACGAAGTACTTTTATCATATATTGGCTATAGTCATGATAGTAACCGTGAGTTACCGGAACTCTTCTGCTCATAGATCGTGTACAAGTTCAGTAGTCAGAATCTTGATGAAGTTGATGGATTAGAGAGTAGCGGGTCCAGGTTTTTATGGACCCGGACCCGGTCGGGTTCAGACCCGGACCTGACCGGGTCCAGACCCGTTAAGTGTTTCGCCAATATTTAGCACCATCTGTATATAGGAACAAGTAAAGACTCATGGTTTTAGCTAATTATTGGCTATTCTCAGAGGAAAAGTGTATATACAGGTATTTCCTGTTGTTCACTTGTTCATCATGCAACATGATGCTTAATAATTAAGATTTTACTGCTTAACTGAAAAGAACATTATGCCAACCAAAAAAGCAAATTAGAGAATTAATTGATAATCAAAACTCATCATTAAAAATTCCTAAACCAACAGTAACTTATTAATATTCGTTTACTTTTTTGTTTATTTTTCTTGTTTTTTTCAACTTCATTTGTTATTTGTATTTCAAATGACTTTTTAATTTCAAAACTAAAAATAGCCAAGAAATTTTGAAATAGAATACAGAAAATATTATACGACGACCTAAACTCTCCAGTATTTAGATTAGACTCGCAGTTGAATGCAAACCGGGTCTGAAAGTAAATCACATATAGACCCGGACTCAGGCCCGGACCCGGATGATATCAAATTTCTAGACCCGGACCCGGGTGGCATTAATTTTCTGGACCCGGGTCCGGGTCTGGACGGACCCGCTACTCTCTATGATGGATGCAATCTAACTGCATTAAGTTAGTTCAGTAATGAAAGCGACTTTCGAAAAGTTTCTCAAAAACTAATTACAGCTGTAATAGACAACTTTGAAGGATATGTGTCCCAAAATAGATATAATAATACAGTCTCAATGTGATTAGCAATAGTAGTTATATCATATTTCATATTTTAATTTTATAAGGATTACGCGAAAAGCTATTTTCAATATTTTTTTCTTTCAGTCTTTCAATAATTAACGAAATCTTTATATTAAAAATGTTTACTTTTGTAAATCATTGATTTCACTTTGATATTTTTCTGTTGCTTGATCATATTCAGATTGTAATTTAATAATTTGTTTTGTTTGATTTTCTATAATTGAAATTAAACTATCAAGACGAACATTTGTTTCTTCACTAATATCTTTAAATAGATCTGGTCTTGTAGTTATAATATCATTAATCTTATTATTGATTGTTTCTATTGTATATTTTAATGTATTATTTGTTTGAATTAATTTCTTATGTTCATCATCATCTATTTCTTCTAAAAGTTTTTGACGTTCATTCATGAGATTTTCAATTTGATTTTTATATTCATTTAATTGCTCTTCAATTTCTTTCCTATGTTAATGAAGAAAATTGTTTAATTAAGAAAAATATTTATAGTATTTTGATCTCAAACTTAGATTTATTCTAAAAGACGACAATTATTAATAAGTAAAAATGATAAATCATTTAATGCATGCATGATGAGACCTTATATGTCGTTCAAGTCAACTACCGGTTCACTGCAGTTCAATTGACAGGATACATTTAACAATGTCGGTAGTTATAGTATTACAGGTTATACCATGAAAACTTGTCACAGCTTGAATATGTCATGGTCTATCTGCTAATTATTGCTTTACTGTTTTCTTTTTTGCTCATACAACCAACATCATTCAACAAAAGAAGCTTGATCATGGTCGTATGTCTTTTTTTCTAGATTATTCATAGTTTGAGAATATGCCAAGAGTCAAACAAGACTCGAGACTACTATATCTCAATTGAAACATGTTTTCAAAACGTGCTATCTTTTAATATGTTCATTAGTTTAGCATATCAAATTCAATAAAAATATATAAAACTATGTAAGATTTCCATACAATCATGAAAAATCATACTGAGTTTGAAATCAAAGGACTATAGTCAATAGTTACTTTTGTTTTTTAAGTTCATCTTGAGATTCGATTTGAGATAAGAGAATAAGATTTTTTTCATTCAGATCATTAAGTTGTTTATCTAATGCTTGAATACTATAAATACATAAAATCAATCTTTTGATATATATAATTTATTCTGTTAAACTTACTCTTCTTCTGTTTGAGTTTCTACATTCTGAGAATCAATCGATTGTTTAAGTTCAATTTCATGTTGACTAAAAAAATATGTTTTTAGAATATAGATATTAAGAATATTGTTTTTTTAATACTTTTGAAGTTCTTTTATTTCATTTCGTAGTTGTTCTTCGACTAGAGTATGTTCAGCTTGTAATGTATTAATTTTTATTGTTTGATTTTGAACTATTGAAATTAAATGATCAAGACGTTCATTTGTTTCTTGACCAATACCATCGAATAGATCTGGTCTTTCATTAACAATACGATAAATTTTATATTTCAAAGTTTTTAATGAACGTTTTGTTTTCTTATATTGATCATCATCATTTGTTTGACATTCATTATTTATTGTTTGTATAGATGATAAAGTATATTTTTCTAGTTCTTGCAAAAGATTTGTACGTTCTCTCATGAGAATTTCTATTTGATTTTTATATTCATTTATTTGCTCATCAGTTTGTTTTCTAAAGAAAAAATGAGCATTGTTAATGAAAACAGATATATTAAGATTTACTTTTCACGTTCTATTTCAGTTTGTAATTCTGTATGAGAATCAATCTGATTAGCAAGTGAAAGACATCTTTCTTTTAAAATTTTGATTTGTTCTATTTGTTGTCCTAATAATTCATGTAATGCATTAATACTAAATCAAAATAAGATTTAATTAGTATAAAGAAATATTTAAATTCATTTTTCTCTCACTCTTCATATGTTTGAACTTCTACATGTTGACAAACAGGTAATTGTTGTTTTGGTTTAGTAAATTCTTCTCGTATTTGATCATTATTCTTTTTCAATTGTTCAATTTCACGTTGACTAAAATGTGTTATTTTAATAAGTAGGATTGTAGAAAAAAGTTTAACAACAATGTATCTTTCATTTTTCTTTTTCTATTTAGGCTTTATAGAAATTGTGAATAAAATGAGTACTCATCGCATTTTCTGAGATATTACCTTAAAAAGTTAAAAGTATCATGAAAATTGTAGAAAACGAAAGACAATTATAAGAGTTTCACGACAGAAGATATATAAGAGTATAAATATGTTTTTGTGCAACTTTTTCCCACCATATTAAATATAAATCATTATGATTAAAGCCTTACTGTTCTGTTGAGGACATTGCTTCTTGTTTAAGAAGTTCATTTCGTTCTTCTACGAGAGATAGCAATTCTTCTTTGTATTTCATCGATGTTAGTTCATGTGTATGCTTTGTTTCTTTCAGTTCAAGTTCAACTTTACTAAGACGATCACATAATAAACTTCGCTCTTCATTATTTTCATATATTTTTTGTTGTAGCTCATCAATCTGCGTTTGATAATCTTCGACAATCGAAGAACTAAACAAAAAAAAAGGTAGATCTCGAGTGAGTGTTGCTTGAAGAATTCAACCTTATATCTTCAGATGGTGCAGCAGATGTAAGTTGTTCGATTCTCACTTGTCGTTCATAATTAAGTTCATTTTGAATTGTTTCCAAAGATCTACAAAGTTTGTTATCAAAAGGAAGTGAAAAAAATTTTTGTTTCTCACCTTTGAAGTTCTTTTATTTCATTTCGAAGTTGTTTTTCTAACTGATCACGTTCAGTTTGTATGAGATCAATTTGTATTGTTTGATTTTCTACTATTAAAATCAAATGATCAAGACGTTCACTTGTTTCTTCACTAATTCCATCAAATAGATTTGGTTTTTCAATAACAATACGATGAATTTTCTCTTTGAATGTTTGTAAAATACGTTTTAGTTTATTATTAACTTGAATTAGTTTTTCATGTTGATGATCATCTGTTTGACTTTCATTATCTGCTTTTTCAATTAAAACCAATTCGAGAAGTTTTGTATGTTCTTCAGTGATAAGTTCTAATTCATTAGTTTGTAGTTCCATCTCTTTCCTATATGATAAACAAAATGAGTTCATATAATTGAATAATGTCAACGAGGATGTTTACTTTTGTGTATCAAGTTGAGATGAAAGCATAAGATTTGTTTCATTAAATTCAGCGAGTTTCTCTGATTGTTGTTGAATAGTTTCTTTCAATGATTTAATTCTAGAATCAATTGAGATTATATTTTGAAAAAAAGAAAAAAGATCGAATCATTGTAACTTACTCTTCATTTGATGTTCTAAATGTTTGTTTATATTCTGTTAGTTCGTCTCGTAATTGTTCAACTTCTCGTTGACTGAAGAAAAATGAAATTAAAAATTAGAATATAAAATAGAATTAATTTCATACTGTTCTATTGATTGAAGATTTTGTTGTTCAACAAGAACATTACGTTCTCGAACAAGTGTTTCATATTTCGTTAATGTTGAATTTTGATCATCTAATATTTTTCTTAATTCAAGTTCAATTTCATTAAGACGTTCACGAAGTAATATTTGTTCATCTTCTTTTTCAATAAGTGTTTGTTCAAGTTGATTAATTTTTGTTTGATAATCTTCAATAATTGATGAACTAAAAAGTAAAATAGATTTTAAAATGAAAGTCTGTAAGATCATAGAGTTTATTCAAAACCTGATATCTTCAGTCACAGGTAAAGATGATGAAGTAGCTAAAATGTGTTGTTGACGTTCATTATCAAGTTCAGATTCAATAGTGAGTAACGAACTATAATATTTAAAGGAAAGATTTTGCTTGTACACTTCTATTATTTACCTTTGAAGTTCTTTTATTTGTTGTTGATATTGTTGATTAGCTTGCTGATGTTCAGTTTCTATGATATGAATTTGTTTTGTTTGATTTTCTACGATTGAAATTAAATGATCAAGACGTTCATTTGTTTCTTCACTAATACCATTGAATAGATCTGGATTTTCGTTTACAATTCGATGAATTTTATCTTTTATTGTTTGTAATGCTCGTTTTAATTTATTATTAACTTGAACTAATTTCTCATGTTTATAATCATCTGTTTGAGTTTCATTATCTATTTTTTGAATTATTATTGAAGGATTTTTTTCTATTTCTTCTAGAAGTTTTCTACGTTGTTGCATAAGATTATCAATTTGATTCTCACGTTCAATTAATCGTTCTTCAATTTCTTTTCTATATCATTTAAGAAAAATATTTAGTGAAAAAAAAAAACAAACAAGAGAAACATTAATGAAATATATTACTTATGTTTATCGAATTCATCTTGAGATACGAGATGTAAATTTTTTTCATTTAATATATTAAGTTCTTCAGTTTGTTGTTTAAGTATTTCGTACAAAGATTCAATACTAAAAAACACAAAATACATTATCGCGTGGCACAATGTTTCCGCGCACGACATTGCCGCACCGACATTTTCGCGCACGACACTTCCGCGCAAATGAATTTTTTCTCTTCTGTTTATGTTGAGCTAATGCTAGAGGAATCACCTGGATTGCTATAGGAATTATCTGGGATGTTACGGAAATCACCTATGATGCTACAGAGATCATCTATGATACTGGAAGGATCGCCTGGGATGCTAGATGGATCGCCTGGGATGCTAGTGGGATCACCTGAGATGCTAGAGGGATCGCCTGAGATGCTAGGGAATCATCTGAAATGCTACATGATTGTCTGAGATGCTATATGCATCTGCTATGATACTAAACGCATCCATTGGTGACGCTTGTAGAATCCCAGATGACCCCTCCAGCAACTCAGTCGATCCGTCTAGCATCCTAGGCGATGCGTCTAGTATCTCGGGCGATGATACTAGTATCCAGAGCAATGCCTCTAGTATCTCGAGCGATGCATGCAGCATTCCAGATGATCCTTCCAGCATCCTAGGTGGTCCCTGTAGTGTTCCCGATGAGCTTACCAGCAGTTCAAGTGATCCCTCTGGCATCCCAGGCGATGCCTCTAGCATCTCAGATGATTCCTTTAGCAATCCAGGTGATCCTTCTAGCATCTCAGGTGATCCCCCCGATATCATAGGTGATCTCTCTAGCATCCCAGGTGATTCCTCCAGCATTAACCCAACATAAACAGACGAGAAAAACTTCATTTGCGCGGAAGTGTCGCGCGCGGTAGTGTTGCTGCGCGGAAGTGTCGTGCGCGGAAAAGTCGGCGCGGAAACGTCGGCGCGGATATGTCGTGCGCGGAAACGTCGGTGAACCACATTATCGAGAAATTATCATTTACTCACTCTTCAATTGTTTGAATTTCTACATGGTGATAACCAGATGTTATTGTTTGTATTTGATCATTTTTCTTTTTCAATTGTTCAAGTTCACGTTCACTAAAATTTATTATTTTAAGAAATAGAAGTGAATCTTTATAATAAAACAAAGGTTTTCGGATAATTCACCAAGAAACGTTTGTAAACATCAAATCTCTTTTGAATCAGGACTATGTGGGTGTGGATAATACTGTAGTCTGAATCTCTCACTAACGCCCACACCCACCCTTTTATAAAAAAAAAGATGACTGTGCTATAAGAGTCTTTATTTAATGAAATGATTCAATCGGTCAAAGCAATGAATTAATAGCTCATCAAAATCTACGTGATGTACATTGTCCTAACTCAAACGTGATTTGATATTTAGAAAAGTTTATGAAACTGAACTATCGAAACAGATTTTGTGTTATGATTTGATCTAAACTATGAATTAAGAATTGATCGATCTCGCAATCTTACTGTTCTGTTGAAGACATTGCTTCTTGTTCAAGAAGTTCATTGCGTTCTTCTACGAGAGACAATAATTCTTCTCTATATTTCGTCGATGTTAGTTCATGTGTATGTTTTGTTTCTTTCAGTTCAAGTTCAACTTCACTAAGACGATCACATAATAAAGTTCGCTCTTCATTATTTTCAGATAGTTTTTGTTGTAGCTCATCAATCTGCTTTTGATAATCTTCGACAATCGAAGAACTAAACAAAAACAGGTAGATCTCGAGTAAGTGTTGTTTGAAGAATTGAACCTTAGATCTTCAGATGGTGCAGCAGATGCAAGTTGTTCGAATCTCACTTGTCGTTCATAATTAAGTTCATTTTGAATTGTTTCCAAAGATCTACAAAGTTTGTTATCAAAAGGAAGTGAAAAGTGTTTTGTTTCTCACCGTTGAAGTTCTTTAATTTCATTTCGAAGTTGTTTTTCTAACTGATCACGTTCAGTTTGTATAAAATCAATTTGTGTTGTTTGATTTTCTACTATTGAAATCAAATGATCAAGACGTTCACTTGTTTCTTCACTAATTCCATCAAATAGATTTGGTTTTTCAATAACAATACGATGAATTTTCTCTTTGAATGTTTGTAAAATACGTTTTAGTTTATTATTAACTTGAATTAGTTTTTCATGTTGACGATCATCTGTTTGACTTTCATTATCTGTTTTTTCAATTGCTACTGATTCAAGAAGTTTTGTATATCTGTTCGTAAGACTGTCCAATTCATTAGTTTGTAGTTCCATCTCTTTCCTATATGATAAAAAAAAAAGAGTTCATATAATTGAATAATGTCAACGAGGATTTTTACTTTTGTGTATCAAGTTGAGATGAAAGCATAAGATTTGTTTCATTAAATTGAGTAAGTTTCTCTGATTGTTGTTGAATAGTTTCTTTCAATGATTTAATTCTAGAATCAATTGACATTATATTTCGAAAAAAGAAGAAAGATCGAATTATTGTAACTTACTCTTCATTTGATGTTTGTTTAAGTTCTGTTAATTCATTTCGTAATTGTTCATTTTCTCTTTGACTGAAGAAAAATGAAATTAAAAATTAGAATATAACAATAGAATTGATTTCATACTGTTCTATTGATTGAAGATTTTGTTGTTCAAGAAGAACATCACGTTCTTGAACAAGTGATTCGAATTTAGCTATTGTTGATGAATGATCATCTAATGTTTTTTTAAGTTGAAGTTCTATCTCATTTATACGTTCTTGTAATAAAGATTTATCTTGATCTTCTTTAGAAAGATTATTTTGAATTTCATATCGATATGATTCAAAAGAACTATAATAAATTAAAAATATTCTTAATAAAATATTAATTTCATATGATAAAAAATAACCTTTGAAGTTCATTAATTTCATTTTGTTTATGATCATGTTCAATTTGTAAATTTTTAATTTCTGCTGTTTGATGTCCAACAGCAGAAATTAAATGATCAAGTCGTTCAAGAGTATCGTCAGTTGAATTTTGAAATAATTCAGGTCGTTCAACAACAATATGATGAATTTTTTCTTTAATTGTTTGTAATGCACGTTTAAGTTTATTATTAACTTGTACAAGTTTATCATGTTGTTGATCATCAGTTTGAGTTTCATTATCAATGAGTTGTTCGACTCGAGAAGATGCTTGAACTTGTTTTTCAACATTTGATGAAGTTTTAGAATATTTTTTATTCAATTCTTGTAATTCTTGTTCATATTTAGCTAATTGACATTTTAAATTATGAATTTCCCTTGTAAAAACAAAAAATCATGATCATATACTCATTGAATTTATGTCGATATTCTTACTGATTATTGTATGATTTATCTTCTTCAAGTTGACTTCTTTCTTCTATTAATTGTTCTATTTCTTGTTCACTAAAACAAATTAAGTTTTTTCATAATCGACCACAATAGCTTGTTGAAAGGTATTAGAAAAAAAAAAGACTTAGATGATTCTAGAAAACTCCGAAGGTTTCCTCAAAATTTAATGACCGACATACTGCATAGTGTAGCTTTTTAATTTTACGTAAATAAAAGTTTATACTCTAGATATTAAGCATAATGGACAGTGATTAAAAATGTGTGGAGCCGAGTTTTTTTTATCTCGGTTCCGGTCTAATGTATATAAAAAGATTTTTTGCTCGTAAAATCAATGGTTGAAGTAATAATAACATTACATTAAGAATGCCAGTACAAAAACAAAAAAGCTTCAGTTTCTGGTGATCGATTTCCCTTGGAAAAAATCTATACTTAAAGTATTTTGTATTGGTATAATAAAGCTAAAGAAAACATGTGAGTTCCATGTTTTAATCCTAATGGGGCTGTACTGACAAGGTTTTCTTTTAAAAATACAAACCTAAGTATTGACGATGGAACTATTGGTTCAGTTTTTAAAAGTTCAATTTGTGCTGCTTGATGTCCGACAGCAGAAATTAAATGATCAAGTCGTTCGATAGTATCATCAGTGGAATCAACGAATAATTCAGGTCGTTCAACAACAACACGATGAATTTTCTCCTTAATAGTTTGAAGAGCACGTTTGAGTTTATTATTAACTTGTATAAGTTTATCATGTTGTTGATCATCAGTTTGAGTTTCATTATCAATCATTTGTTTAGAAGATGTTTGAATATCATCATGTTGTTGATTATCAATCGATGTTAAACGAAGAGAACTTTGTATATCAATACCATGAGATTGATTATTGATGGAATCTAAACAATTTTTTAAAATTAAAATCATATTTTGAATAAGAAAATTAATTTACTATATAATTGTGAATTTAAATCTTTTAAATTTTTATTTTCAATTTTAATCTCTTCAATAATTGTTTTTAATCGAATTATTTCTTGTTGATTTGATAATTGTTCTTCTATTGGTATTTGTTGTTTTGTAGTCTCTTCAATCAAATTCTTATTCAAAATTGATTCTTTTGTAGTTGATAATTGAAGTTCATCAATTAAATCACATTGAATATCAACATTATTTGATGATTTGATTTCGACCGAACCTAAATTGAAATTTATTATAACTTAGTTTGTTTATTCTCAATGAAAATTATCCTTTTGTAATCATTTTAATAGTAAAATTCACAAATCTTCTTCAATACTCGTAACGATACAATGAGCCGATGCTAATTCGGTTAGAAAAGTCTTTCTCTGTAAGCCTGCATGTATCTAATTCGGTAGTCGAAAGCTACTAATTGCCTTTATCAAGATAAATTGTATGATTACAATATATTCAGTACATTTTTCAAATATTATTAAATGATTGTCGAATCCAATTAAGTATGAAATATATAGCCACATTAAAGCAATCATTGCTTCTTCTAATAGTGTCTCTTATGTAAAGATATTCATCATTTTTGATCAAGAACAAAAAAAAACTTTAAAGCTATGTAATCGTAGTTATCGATAAGGATAGAACTCGAAATTTAAGAAAATTCATTGCTATTTAATCCCTTTCTAAGTTCTATTCTGTTCTATTAAATATTATTAAGTCGTTATCAATTGCATAATCAATGTTTGAAATGCTTCTTAACCGAAAAACTCGATTGTTGAAGTTTATATCAAAAAAATTTCAAAGCTGAAACCAAGATAAATTCATTAACAAACATAAATCACTTTCAATTGTATGTTTTAATAATGAGAAAAATAAACATACCATGTTCGATTTCATGTTGTAATTTATCTTGATAGATTTGTGCATTATAATCTTTTAATAATTGATTTTCATTTAAAAGTTGATTATATTCTTTTTCTAATTGTTCATAATTTTTATCATTTAATTTATCATTTAAATTTTTAATTATTTCTTCTGAATATAAACGTTCATATTCAATTTTTTGAAATTTTTCTTGCATAGAATTTATTCGTTCAATTAAATCATTTTTTTCATTAGTTAATAAATTATATTCTTGTTGTAATGCTCGTAAAACAGTTTCATTATATAATTCTTTAGCTTTATCAGATAAATGTTGTTGATAAAGAAAATAAATTGTTATTAATGATAAATGATTAAGTTCAAGATTTGGAATTGAAGTTAATTTTAAATTTTGTTTTGATAATATTTGTTGACATTCTTTAATAAGATTATTTGAAAGATCCATTGATGATTGAAAAGATATTTCATTGATATATTCATTTAATTGATTATTAATTTCATTTGTATTTAAAGAATCTTCATCATTTGACTAAAAGAAAAAAAAAACAAAAAAATAGACTTGTTCGTTCTATTAAAATATTTTGAAGAAAACCGCCAAGGATTAAATTTATTTTTATCCTTTTCAAGCTACAATGACTGTCATTTTGTTCACATGTTAGTTCTTTCATCATGTGTCACTAGGTACATTATTCAGCATATATCTAATAGTGATCCGGACAGTTGCTCTCCGGACAGTTGCTCTCCGGACAGTTGCTCGCTATAAGACCCTATGTAACTGTTATAGCGAGCAAGTGTCCGCGCGCAACTGTGCGGCGAGCAAATGTCCGCGCGCAACTGTCCGGCGAGCAAGTGCCCGCGCGCAGCTGTCCGGTGAGCAACTGTCCTAAACCCATCTAATAAATGCTGTATTTAAACCTCGGCACCGACAGCCATAGGATAGCCCTGGGCAAGTTATTAAAGAGTGTTTGTCTCGGAACATCTGTTCGATAGTATGTCGACTATGTTGTGACATACACCTACTTTTGTTTAGAGTGACAGCTGGTTTTACTTGCAAAAAAAGTTATTGAACTATTGAATCTACCGTTTGGCAATATTCTATATCTCACTCAAAAAGATTAGAATATTCTTACGCCGTTAAAAGTCGTGCATCTATGATATTTCGATAACTTACGACAGGCAAAAATTGATGAGATATATCAGTTTGACATTGTTGATGAGTTATATCAACTGGATCCATTTGTGTATGATGATGTTTATAAGTTAATGGTATTGTTTCAGTAGCAATATGTTTTGGTTCTTTGTGTTCGTATTGAGTATATTTATCAATTGTTTCACATAGATTTGCATTTGGAATACTTATTGATTGAAGTTGAGACTATAAAAAAAGGAAGAAGAAAAGAGTTAATAAATATATTAAAAGAAATAAAAGACGAAAACCTGTTGATTATTTTGAATTAAATTTTCTTGTTCAAGAAAACTTGATTCTGCTGCAGAATGATGACCAACAACAATTGATCGATCATTCATTTGATTATTTAAATTTTCATTTTCGATAATAAGTTCTTTATCTATTTGATCAAGTTGTTCGCATTGTTCTTTCATTGCAAGTAATTCTTGATTAA